ATATTACCAAATACAATATTCTTCGCAGTCGCTGCGATTAGAAAATTTTCGATTGCAATCATTTTGTTTAGGAAGGAACAAAAATTGATGCTTACCGCGTGCCTAAATTTACTTAACGCTTAAAAGTCTGATAAAATCCAACATAAAGTGCCTTTAAAAGCGAATAACTTTTTCAAAGTCGGACCAAACGACTTGATCATTTTTTTTTCAGATTTTAGAAGATCTAATTTACTGGACAACGGGCAAACGATTAATTACAAGCTATGGACAGTGAAGACAACAAAAATCTACGGATTTGTTCGAGGCCATGTTTGCATCGTTGACGCGCTCGAAATTGAAGTGAAACACAGTCCTCCGAAAATTAACTGTAGGTGTCACGAGACAGACCTATTATGGGACCAATTGGCCCGGTGTTTTGCGGGAGAAGTCGTGCTCGAACATGCTGGAATTGAACTGGAATTACCATTAAGGTGATCGATAAGGTTGCGGCTCCGGGTTGCGCGCACTTCAGCACCGATTTTATTCAGAGCGAAATAGCATCTCGGACAGATAAATGCATTAGGATGACGAGTATCGAGAGAAATTGGTTTCTTAATTACAGTCGGATAGGCTCATACATATAATATCCGGCGTGTTCTATTATTGAATCTCAGTTTAATTGAAATCGAAAGCAGATTTCGATGGGACGTCGTGTCATGGTTTGACATTTCGGAGAGAATATTTAATGTGACTCGTCGAAATAACGTGTGAAGCGTATAATTGATATATATTGTATTTATTTTCCAAGTTAATTGTAGAGTAACATATATAGTATTTATAATAACTAGGCATGTTGCAATATTGATTAGAAATAAATATATTACTTATTATCTATAATCTTAATATCATATAATTTTATGATAATAATATTATATTAATATCATATAATATATTATATGTAATTTATTGTAATATGATATATTATCATATAATACATTATATGATATTAATAATATTATTATCATAAAATTATATTATATTATTATTACCATAATTATATGATATATCATATCATATAATATATTATAGATAATAATATTTTTAATATTAATATTATTAATATAATATACATGTATATGTATATTAAATTTATATATATATATATATATATATATATATATATATATATAAAAATATATAAATTTCATTTAATTTATCA